TCATCACAGATGCCGGAAACTTTACTTTTTTCTTAAGACAGTCATTGTGAAAGACTTCTGCTTTAGTTCTAATGACTCGGCTTCGATTATCACCAACGCAAACTTCAAATCTAGCTTCGTCATTCCATATAATTGAATCCCATTGATTTTGACACCAAGTCCTGTGCTCTTTTGCCCAGAGAAGTCTATTTTTCTTATGTTTTTTTGTCAATAAAGGTTTTTCCTTTGCCTACAGATAGTTAAATTAAAAATAAATAAAAATCGTATACATTATAAGCAAACCTTGTAAGTTTTAAACCCAAGTTTTTGAGCAGCTCTATGACAGGTTGCTCTTGAAAAACATTTACTCGTTGCCTGATTCCACAAAACTTTTAATTCACCGTAATTAGCCCTACGATTTTGAACGATAATTCTTCTTAAAGCCCTTAAATTTTTATCAGAATAGTGAGGACGACTTCCGTTTTTTGGTTTCTGCGCCACAGATCCTGTAGTTTTTGCAGTTTAATAATATTTCGCACTGTATATCGTGACAAATTAACAGTTTCAGCCATTTGTGCAGCGGATTTTCTTTTTAAATGCAAGTGAATTATCACTTTTCTTATTTCTTTAGAAACAGCTTTTCCTCGGGACATTATTATTTGTCAACCACACCGAAAGCATAAATATATACTGGAATGTCACTACCGACTTGCTTACAATTATTTAAATGTCAAATATTATCTTTACTTTTAGCACAGCCGACTTGCATTAAAAAATCTGGCCATCCAAGTTAATGCATTTTTGTCGATTTTTTTGTATTGTAACCAAACATCCAACTTAAAACTAAATAATATACATACTTATTTTTTTTTAAATTTTACAACATGAAGATTGACCAAGAATTATATATGCTAAAAAAAAATTATTGGCTTTTCATCGCATAAAATTACAAATTTTATATTTTGAGTGGTTGGGCCAACTTCACTGAGACAGGGCTCGTATATCTAAAATATATTGATAATTTGACCACTTAAAATTGATACAATATTCTATAGAAACAAAATTTTAGATAATATTAAACCTTAACAAAATATATTTCAGAAGCCTTCACATCGACTTTTACCTACAAATCTATATGTTGTGTTATATAATTTTAAATCACGACACCAAGATGAACTAGATTTAAAAGCCGGTTATAAAGTAACAGTGATTGATACTTCTGATCCTGATTGGTGGAGAGGAAAGTGCTTTGGAAAAGTTGGATTTTTCCCGTCAAAATATGTATCCAAATTATCTTCTGGCGAAAAACCACTGCAGGTAAATTATTTTTGATAAAGTTAAAAATGTAATTTTTTATGCTCTGGTAAAAATATTACAAAGAACTCGTTCTTACCTAGGTATAATATGTTTTTATCCTATTTGACTCTTTATTGTCACTTCTTCGTCCTTTTGAATTTGGACTTATTACACAGTACGACAAAATTTGATTTTTTTTTCCTCGCATGAAAAACTCCTATAGATTTTGAAAATAGACTTAAAAAATGATACTTATTAGGGTAGGTTGAAAACAAAATGTTTGTTTTTTTTCCTAGCATAGGGGTAGAATTTGTACCTTATAAAAAAAGAAAATTTAAAAAAAAAAAAATTTGTAAAGAATATTTAGGGTGTCCTCTTAAAAGCCTATTGGAAGTCAAAACTTGAAAAAGTTTTTTTCTCATTGTTTTTGTAATTTAAGTAACAAAAATGTATTAGAATTAAAGTTGAGTGAAAAAAAATCACATTCTACAATTTTTACATATTTTCCACGATTTTGGACCAAAAAAAGAATTTCCCGTTGGAACTACCCCATTTGATTAAATATTTATGTAAAAAACGAGTGGGCCACCTCAAGATGTTGAGTAAAAATTTTTTTTTTTTTGAAAAATTTTCTTTTTTTATAAAGTACAAATTTTACTCCGATGCTAAGAAAAAAAACAAATATTTTGTTTTCAACCCACCCTAATACTTATGTCTCGACGTTTTTTCAGATCACGTCATTGTGCGATCCAATAAAATGTTATCCACGGTATTCGGCACATGATATACGTAACAGCTTTGATAACAGCTAGACTGTATCTATTTATGAAAAATTTATTCACTGAATAAATGGAAAACCATTAAAATTATTTATTTATTAAAATTATTTATTTTAATTATATACAGGGTGTTGCACATTTACGAAATACGGGTGTTTCACGTTCGTGGTCCATTAAAAGTTTCTGAGAAAGGGCAAGAGATAAGGATTTGAAATTTTTAAAGCGTTTATAATCCAATTAAGCCCATTTTTTTTAAATATTTTAAACAAAATACCACTTCCGGTTTGACCGGAAGTGACACCAACTTTGTTATTTTAAATAAAACACCCCATATATTTTTACATTTTTCAATTCTACATAAAATTCTGAGTAAAATTACTTTACCATGTCCTATACCTAAAGTAAATAGTTTTCGAGATATTAATGTTTTTTGTTAAAATTTGACAAATGTGCCGTCAATAAAAAATAGCATATAACTATTTTGCTATTAGGTTTGCGGAAATGGGGGTGAAATTTTTGGAATCTTAAAACATTGTTTAAAAGATTCCATGTCAATTCTTTAACAACCTAGCAAACAGACTGCCGTCTAATTGACGTCATTATTTGGTAATCATTGGTCAGCGACGTCGCATGACCAAAGAAGGACGTCTTGGCAACGTCAGATGTAAAACGTAATAACGACGTCCTGCAAAGACGTCTAATGTTCGTCACAATTTTTAACGTCATCATGAATAACGTTTTTAAAACGACGACGCCTAAAATAACCTAGTTGTGCACATGTATGTACGATAATAAGCATATAATACTATATAAAGTATGGTATATATGCATAGGTATGTATATATATACCTACCTACATATGCATATATACCTACCATTTGAAAATTCCCATATATCATTTGCTTTTATTTTCCGTGACTAGATTGAGAGAAATTAAGAATACCTACCTAGGTATATAAACTGGTCGTCATAAAAATCGACGCACGTAGTTTTTTGAAAAATATTTGAAAGCTCGTTATTGAAAAATTACTGAATGGATTTTGAAAATCTTTGGAAATTCTGAATAGCTAATTCTATGACTCTTATGTCTAATTTTGGGAATACGATATTTTGCACATTGCATTGTACTACAGGGTGTTAAACGAAGAGATTTTTCCGAAATTTCAAGTTATTCCCATTCATGAGGCAGTTGAGTTTAATAGTCGTAATACCCCTCCCTAATATAAGTAACGTATCCCTCGGAACGTTTTCGAGATTTTGTGAATATCGCGGCTTACTACGATTATATGCCAATTTATCGAAAATTGTCGTTATTTCCCAGTTTAGTCCAAAAAATGAGCAATAGCGGATTCTTTGACTAACGTCTAATTTTGAGAATACGATATTGTGCACATAGCATTCTACTACAGAATGTTAAAAAAAGAGATGATTTTTTTCCAAAATTTCAAATCCCCATTCACAGGGATAGTCGTAATACCCCTTTGACAAATGCGCGTCAATTCCTAATAACAGTTAGGTTATCACTCGGGACGTTTTCGAGATTTTGTGGATATCTTGGCTAACTACGATTATATGAAAATTTTTCAAAAATTCACGTTATTCTTCATTTTAGTCCAAGGCAAGCTCAACTGCCCTGTGAATGGTGATTTGGAATTTTGGAAAAACATCTCTTTTTTTAACACCCTGTAGTATAATGATATGTGCACAATATCGTATTCCCAAAATTAGACGTAATTTAAAGAATCCACTATTGCTCATTTTTTGGACAACTGGGGAATAACGACAATTTTCGAAAAATTGGTATATAATCGTATTTAGCCAAGATATCCACAAAATCTCGAAAATGTCCCGAGGGATTACCTAACTGTTATTAGGGAGGGGCATTAGGGCTATAAAACTCAACTGCCCTGTGAATGGGGATTTGGAATTTTGTAAAAAAACATCTCTTTTTTTAACACCCTGTAGTATAATGCTATATGCACAATATCGTATTCTCAAAATTAGACCTAGGTCAAAGAATCCAGTATTGCTCATTTTTGGACTAAACAGGGAAATAACGACAATTTTCGATAAATTGGCATATAATATCGTAGTAAATTGGCATATAATATTGTAAATCTCGAAAACGTTTCGAGGGATTACCTTACTAATATTAGGGAGGGGTATTACGACTATCAACCCAACTGCCTCATAAATGGAATAACTTGAAATTTCGGAAAAAATACATCTCTTCGTTTAACACCCTGTAGTATAATGCTATGTGAAAAATATTGTTTTCCCAAAATTAGACATAAGAGTAAAAGAATCAGCTATTCAGAATTTCCAAATATTTTCAAAATCGATTCACTAATTTTCCAATAACGAGCTTTCAAATATTTTCCAAAAAACAAGGTGCGTCCATTTTTATGATGAGCAGTTTATATATTAGGTATTTATATTTATATGGTCTGCACAGATGTATAATAAACTAATAGGTACATATTACTAAGTGAGGCGTTAATGATTATGAAAGTATTTTATTAGGATGTGTGAAAAATAATAGTAATAACAAAATAAATATACATTACAAAAATTACAAAAATTAAATACTTATATCTAGGTATACATAATTTATTTTTTTAAGCCATGCATCATCTTTATTTGATACATTAAAAAAAGATAGAGAATACCTACGCTTGTTGTGGGCCGTTCGTATAAGCCTGAATTACAGTAGCCAACGGTTGTCATTTTCTTAACGTTCTTGTCTTGTCGTCCTGTTTCCGCGTTTTTAAAGCCACGCTATTAATTTAGTGTGTGCAATTTAATTTGGTGCAATATTTGCGATATATTGTGGATTATTGGTACAAACGGTGAGTACAACTGTTATTTTAACTAGTACGGTTCAGTGAAGTCAAAATAATCCCGTTATAGCTCTACATAACCTTCAAATGTTTTTGCTTTAGGACAATGCATTCATTTGTGGGTGTTGAATTCCAGGATGGAAGTGTTGCCCTTGTGCATGAGTGTTAGTTGACCCCCGAAAAAAAGAAACATTTTGGCCCCCTTATAAACAAACTAAAGACTATTATGAGGCGCTAAAGCGAGGCGAGCAACCGTCGTGCGAGGATAATAGGGAGATACATTCCGTGCTGAGGATATTTTTTGAAACAGGTAATATTTTATTTTTGAACAAAATAATGCAATACATTATTTACAACGATATTTTGCTGATTTTTAAATCTGTTATTTATTTAAGTATTTACTATTTCAGATGACTATGAAAAGGCACGCAAGAAGTTAAAACTTGCGGAAATCCAATTGGACGCCCAGACAGATGATGCTAGTAAAGAGGTTAGAAGAAGTATGCAGGCCAGTTAAATGCAAGCTAATTTCTATTAGCGAGGAGGAAGAAATGGAATCGAATGAACAGCAGTGTGCCCCGAAAAAAAAATAAATAAAATAAAATTCGTTGAAAATTAAAATTAGTACCTATTATATTATAATTTTAATTTTTAACGAATTTCATCTTTTTATTTTCTGTAGTTGAAGAAGAAAGAGCCGGAAGTTATTATGAGATAACAAAAAGAACTCACCTGGTGATAAAATACTCGGCAGACGCAAATTTTTTTTCGGGGCACACTGCTTATAAGTCGCTTACGCTCTTGAATAGCCAGTTTCCCTACGCTAGCCCACGCAACTATTAGTCCACGCAGCTCTTCAGAAACGGTTGTCAACATCACTTCTTTACGCAATACTACACATCGTACTGGTGCAATTAAGACTTCGCGCATGCCTATTAAAGTGAGAAATTCAAGTCTAGAACTTTTAAAATTAAATTTATCTCTAATTAGCTTTGCAAGAAAAAATAATAAATTTACTTGCTGAAATAAAAGAACAAAATACGGAAATCTTGACCTATGTTCGCAACCAATCTTCTCAAGTAACTATAAACGAAAGCAATGGTCTTCCTGATAACATTCGAGTAAAATTTCCATTAAATTCTATGCAAGATGTAGGAAGAGGTAGAAACTTTTCTTGATAGTTAGGAAAATTTGAATGCTTTGGTAAAACATGTTCCCTAATTGCTGTAACTTTGCAGGTGTTGTATCTGTCTAGTTTTGGAGGTAAAGATATCGCTGGAAAAACTAATAAGATTATGAGGCACATTATAATTAACTACCTCGGCACACAATATTCATTTTATGGGCGAAGGTCGAATAAAAAAGCATTTGCAGAATTAAATCTTAATACTGCTGTTATTAGTAAGTAATCTGTGGCTGTAACTCTAGCTACGTTATGTATTTATTTATTTTTGTTTCCTTTTGTTGCATATGCTGTAAAAAGCCGAACACCAAACGCTATCAATAACGAGGTAGAAAATTCGATAAAGATTTGGCTAAAGCATTCGTCACAACGTGCAGCTAAAGACACGCCGAATGCGCTGTGAGTAATTTTATTTTGTTTTTGTAGCTATAAGTATGTCAAGTTTAAAAAAAATTCCCTACAAACACAGGTATCCTGTAGGATCACGCCAAACTACTAGACGGGTTGCTGAAACAGTAAAAAATATAACTGAGGAGATAAATATCCAAATTAAAAAAAATAACCCTGAATATTTAAATGTTGAGTCATCACCTCCAATTAGTTCTGACAGTTCTTCGGAAGAGAATGATAGTTATACCGAATCCTCTTTCCCTGTGTTAACTGCACCAGTTAATGAAGATTTAAATTTCTCGGGAACTAATTTCGATCACGATTCATTTTCTGAACCTCTGGATGTTTTCGCGAATGCAAATCATACTAAAAAGGCAGAACCGGTAAACTTGTCGGGGCAATTAAGACAGTGGGTTGTAAGAAAGAATGTATCTCCTGGGGCTGTTACTGAATTATTACACATTTTATCTCGTCTTCATCCAGAATTGCCTTTAGATTGCAGAACTCTGCTTCAAACACCATCTAAAATGACAATAAGTCGCTTGATAACAGTGAATATTGTCATTTTGGATTAGCACAAAATTTAAAACGTATCATACAAAACCAAAACGCGCAATTTTACAATATTAAGGTGAGCTTCAATATTGATGGACTTCCTTTGTTTAAAAGTTCAAACACGCAGTTATATAGGCCATATTGGGATTGATAAGAACCTTTTCGAGTGTTCCATTCATTGTGGGTATTAATTGTGGAACGCATAAACCAACTCCGCTCAAAAAATATTTTGAGGATTTTATCCAGGAGGTTCAGTTTTTGACACAAAACGGTTTGGAAATAAACAACAAAAAATATACTTTTGAAATTGAAAACTTTATTTGCGATGCACCTGTGCGGGCGTTTATCAAATGTGCTAAGTCTCATGGCGGGTACTCGTCTTGTGACAAATGCACAGAGTATGGCGAATATTTAAATGAAAAAGTAGTTTTTATGGGTGTCAATACTTCAAAAAGATCTGATCAGTCTTTCCGCTTACAACTACACTCACAGGCAAAATAATCGATCCACAAAAATTTTCGATGAATTTCAATCGTAATGGATTTAAACAAATATTAAAGAATATTGTGGATAAATTAATGGACAATCGCTCACATTTTAAAAAATTACTAAAAAATAGACGTACGTATTATTTATTTTTATTTTGTTTTTGGTTCACCTCGATATATTTATTTTTGTGAAAAATATGGATTTTTAAAAAAAACATTGCAATTTCCAATATTTTTCCTGTATGAAGAACTAAGGTTGCTATGGTCCATCCATAGCCTATGGAGGATGACAGTGACAGTTTTGCTTAATCATCCCATACTTGGACATGTCATACACGGCTTTCAAAAGCTATGAAATTGTTTTTTGCAAATTAATGTTTAAATTTGAGGTCTTTTCTTACTTTAAAAAATGGATATGTCTCCGACTGATGTTGCCAGAGCCATTAATTTAATCCAGGATGGACCGTCACAGTATTACGTGGCAAGTGTTTTAAACGTCACAAGAAGTAAAGTACAAAGGGCAACATCAATCGGAGACATTTTTAAAAGTAAGAAGACACCTCAAAATTAACACATTAATTTACAAAAAAACAATTTGATAGCTTTTGAAAGCTGTATATGACATGTCCAAGTATGGGATGATTAAGCAAAACTGTCACTGTCATCCTCCATAGGCTATGGATGGACCATAGCAACCTTAGTTCTTCATACAGGAAAAATATTGGAAATTGCAATGTTTTTTTTAAAAATCCATATTTTTCACAAAAATAAATATATCAAGGTGAACCAAAAACAAAACTGTTAAAAATAGATGTGACTTAATAATTAAAACTTAATTTATAAAAATATACGGTTTTGCCACTCTACAGAGTGTCTTAAACTTATTGTAAAAAACATATTTTTGTTTAAAACTGTATATTATAAACGTACGTGTATTTTTTAGTAATTTTTAAAATGTGAGCGATTCTGCATTAATGTATCTACAATATTCTTTAATATTTGTTTAAATCCAAAGTCAAATAAAAAAGTTATTTGCGATTGAAATTCATCGAAAATTTGTGTGGATCGATTATTTTGCCTGTGAGTGTAGATAAAGATCACCACACAGGCGTATCCCCTTTAACCGTTCTTCCTATGGATTTTATTAAGTCATTTCCAATAGACTACATGCACAACGTTTGCTTGGGTGTCACCAGAAAACTATTAACTATGTGGACTAGTGGCCCACCGAGTGCATTTAAATTAAGTGGTCCCATGACCAAATTAATTTCTAATAAGTTATTGCTATGCAAAAACAGTTTTCCTTCCGATATTAATAGAAAGCCTCGTCCATTGTCAGAATTTCCACGCTGGAAGGCGACAGAATATAGAACATTTGCTTTATCTGGGCCCATTAGTACTAAAGCCAATAGTTAATATTGCTGTCTATGAACATTTTCTTCTCCTTCATGCTGCAGTGACTATACTGTCATGTAAATTACATGATGTAATATACATATTACCCATTTTGGATATAATGTTTCTAAAAAGCTTTTGACCACTTTTGTCAGTCACAGTGAGCGGATTTATGGGCTAGACTTTTTTGTTTATAATGTTCAAATTTTGTGTCATTTAACCGATGATGTAAAAACATATGGATTTGAAAATTATTTAGGCGAAATAAAAAAGCTTGTAAAAAAACCGAATTATCCGCTTCAACAAATTTATAGACGCATAAAAGAGGCAAATTTTTTAAACTATCAGGCATCGATAACAGATCATAACTTATTGCATCATTTAATCGAACACAACTTAGGACCACTACTTAATTATAATTATTTGAATATTAAGCAGTTTAAGAAATTCCCTTACAACAAAATGGATTTATCCATTTATTTGCACTTTCCTAGTAACTCCTATTGCATGATAATACAGATTCGTAATATAATAGTAAATTCGCATAATTGTTCAATAATTATCGGACAAGAATTTTTGCAATACCATTCGCTGTATTCCTATCCAATGGATTTTAGGAAACTTAATATTTTCAGAGTAGAAGAACTGTCAAAACAATCTTCTTAGCGAAATTGTTTGCAAATGTTTACTAATAGATTTAGAAAATACTTAAGCCTTATTTTCAATATTGCACTCCTATCAATAATATTGTTGCTGTTTCAGTAACATCGTTAAATTATTTGGTATATATACGTATGTGATTATGCTCAAAATCGATCTCGTTTATTTTATATTATTTTATTGCTTCTTACGAGTTCTAGTCTTACCCAGTACTAATTAATATCAATGTGCATGGTAATTTTTTTTTACCTTTTGTATATGAGTACCTGTGTATAGTACCAAAGAGTGCTAGTCTTCATTTATTTTTTGTTTATGGATACCTCTGCATCCATTTGTTGTACCTTGCTTGTACTATTTAATACCAATGTTTATGGTAATTTTTATTTATTTACTTTTTGTGTATGTGTACCTGTGCAATATTTTGTACTATTTTTAATACCAATGAGTGGTAATTTTTGTTTGTATATTTATTGTTTATGGATACCTGTACATTGGTTCGTCGTACCTAGTTTGTACTATTTAATACCAATGTTTATGGTAATTAATTTTTATATATTTATTTTTTGTTCATGGATACCTGTGCATTGTTAGATACGTACCGTACCTTATTTTTTACTATTAATACCAATGTTAATTGTGATTTATTTTTTATTATTTATATTAGGATCTATGCATTTTAAAACAATATACATTTAACAATTTTTCGAGCGTTTTATTTTGCATTTTTCGACATTTCCTTTGACGTTTTTATAACAGTATAACTGACGTCATTTTATTGCTATAATGACGTCCAATTAACGTAATGAAATGACGTCGTCTAGATGTAACATATTGACGTTTAATTTACGACATATTTACGTTTCTTATGACGTTGCTGTGGTCATCCAAATGACGAAAATAACACTTTATTTTGACGGCAGTCTGTTTGCTGGAAAATTACCCAAGAAAACTTGGGCAAATTAGGCTAACTTGAAATTTTAATAACTTTATTATTTTAAATGAAACACCCTGTATGTTTTTACATAATTAAATAGTAAATTAAAAAAACATTTCGATTAATATAATTATTCTCTATAAATAAATTTAATAATTTTAGAGATATTTAACAATTTCTAATATTAGACCCTGAATAGTCAAGAAGAGCAACGTCTAATTTAGAAGTAAGAATTAAGAAATGCCTGAATGTAAATTGAGGACACTGAAAATTTAGTAATAAATTAGTACCTAATAAAATTTGTTGGTTAATTAAATTGTTACAGTTACGCATTCTTCTTGTTTTTAAAATATTTTATAAAATAAATTTTATATTTTATTGTCTCCAATGAGCTAGTGCTTCATCTATTTGACATTCTACAGCTTTGTTGATTTTTTTTTTTCAAAATTAGCAAATACTGTTTGTATTACTTTTAAATTTTTAAACATCTGTCCGCTTTTTTATCAGTAATTTTGTTTACAAAACATTTAATTAGTCAACAAATTTTTTATAAGAACCTGAAAAATTGACGCCACTAAATTTTGAACAATGAAAAAATAAAAGATTATGTATAATATGCAACCTCAATTGCATATGTTTATAAACCGTAACTTTATTTGCAAGCTAACCATAGGGAAAATACATTGTAACTGGACCAGATAAGTCGCAGTCAACACAAAGCGAGAACCTTTTCAGAAATGATTTGGATGCGTCGTCGAGACATGCGTACTAAAACAAATTTTACACCGCACAAAATAAAAAAATAATAAAGCATCGATGTATGAAGCAAGGTCAACTGTTACGGCGCATGCTAGCCTACTCGTCCACGCGTCCAAATCATTTCTAGAACGTTTTTCGCTTCGTGCTGACTAAGACTTATCTGGTCCAGTTTCAATGTATTTTCCCTATGGTTAGCTTGCAAATGAAGGTACGGTATGCGCCACTAAGATACTTAGTTCTGTGTGCTTAGCGCCAATATTAGTTAATCATAAGCTATAATAAAGTGTTTCTAGAATAAACGTAATATTTTAAGTATTTCAAGTCTTGTTATTGTTAAATACCTCTGGCAGAATATTATACATGGTGTCAGGTGAGTTTGATGTAAGTGTTGTCAAAACATTAGACTTGGTTATACTAAAATTTGAAGAATACTCTTTGGGTAAAAGGCATAAGGGGATAAGTAAAAAAAAGCAATTTTTCGGTAGAGACTTAAACGTGTTCGCATTAATTCAGGAAATAAATTTATGGTAAGCGAGTACCTATACCCTTTTGCTAGCATATGACATGTGCTGGCAAAAGGGTATACCCGCTAACCATAAATGTATTTCCTAAATTAATGCGAACACGTTTAGGTCTCTACCGAAAAATTGCTTTTATTGACTTATCCCCTATCTTCGAAAAAGAAGAGTGTTTCAAAGGTATCTTTTTAATAGTATAATGCAAAAAGAGGGGCAAAATTTTGATAGTTTTGTGACCAAACTAAAGAAAGCAGTAAAGTTAACCG